TTTGAGGAAAAAATATCTTTAGACCTCTCAAGCTGCTGAAATATACGAGAAAATATCACGAATTTCACAAAATTGTGATTTTTGTCCGTATTGAGATGCAATTTGCTCCATGTTGTGATACAATGAAAACTCATCATTATACCTAAATTGTAAGAAAATGAAATTCTTTCTGTAATAAAAATCTTATCGCAAAAAGGACAGGAAAGAGCGCTATCAACTGAATTTTATTGAAGGTGCTACGAGCGTTTTTATACTGAGCGCAAGACCAGGGCTCATCTGCAACAACACATGTGTGACCATGACAAAATAATTTTAACCGAGAAAAGAATACTCTTTTTCGGAAAAGATAAGTGAAGGTGTACTGATGCATTGATCCTTGGCCTTCCTGATAAAGAGTTCTAAAATCTCTCATTTTTCTGCTTGCTTTTTTTTTCAAAAACCGTGTTTTATGAAACCTAGGACTACACTTACATTCTTTACGGTGTCCGGCCATGAGACTACTATAGCTCTTCTTAACATTTACAGCATGCTGTCTTGCTTGATCATTGAAGCATTGCCCAGTTTGTCCTGTTTACTTTTCCACATGTTAGCGGTATCTTATACACATTAGATTGGCATTCAGTAAACCTATTCTAGTGACGAATGGTGCAAGATTGACTATTCCTGTTGCTGTAAGTACATGCACTTTTGAAAGCTTGCAAGGGGTGGAAAACAACAATGTCATATCTGCTGGCTCTTTTCCTAAAATTGTGAGACACCTTATGTACGTAGTACCATGTGACATGCAAAGGTGATTGGTCATTCTCTTTTTATTTTGGTCCTGCTTCCTTTAACTTTACTTTCTGCAGGAGGGTTTCACAAACAAGTGTGATGATGCTGTTGGGGTATTGGCTGGTGCTATCAGCCCAGGAGTGCTAAGAATGTTCTGCCTTTTGATAGTGGGCATTCAAAATTAGTAGAAAGAGGAATTGATACCACATGTACTCAGGCCACCCTTCAGAAGTCATGTTAGCACAAGGGTGAGGTCAGGTTTAAAAACCAGATTAAAAGACTAAAAGATGCTGGGTATCCCAACAGAATCATCACACCCGTTTGCAACACCCCTGCAGAAAGTAAAGTTGGACAGGACCAACAAAAAACAATGACCAAAACCTTTGCATGTTATACCACATCATGTGTCTCACAATTAAAAAAATAGCCAACAGATATGATATTAGCGTGTTGTTTTCCACCCTTTGCAAGCTTTCAAAAGTGTGTGTACTAAACAGCTACAGGAATAGTCAATCTTCCCACATTCGTCACGAGAATAGGTTTACTTAATGCCAATTTAATGTTTGTAGAAGTATTTTTTATCAGGTAAACCAATGATCAATGCATCACTACACGTTCACTTATCCTTCCCGAGAGGGAGTATTATTTTCACAGTTAAAGATTATTTTGTAGTGCTCACATGTGTCGTCGCGCATGAACACGGTTCTTGTACTCCGTATAAAAGTGCTCGTAGCACATTCATTAAATTCAGTTGACAGTCGGTGCTCCTTCCTGTCCTTTCTGTCTCTTCCGAAAGTTGTCGCGCTGTGACTAGCACACAACCACGATGAACCAACTCTCCCAAATTAAGCTCTTGTTACGTAACACGTAGACCGAGTTTCGTATAAAAAGAAGGAGCGGTGCTTTTAAAATAAAATTTTTCACATACAACACCTAGACGGCATTCCAGGAAGTTCAGAAGGCAGCCACGTGACCAAATATTTTTCCTCTCCTAAATATTCCAGAAGTTCACTATTTTCAATGCAGCACGAGTTTTTCGAATACATTTGAGATGGTTGCCAAAATGGCTGGGACATTTGGCATAAAGTGACCCAGCTGTGTCATTAGCCATAATTATGCATTACCTATTTTGTTTTTTGTGTGTTTTGACTCAGTTTTGTGTTCGTTTTTAGCTTATTGTGTTTCTGATCATTGTATTGGTTTCTTAAGTATTTGCTAAAGTTATATGTGCAAAAACCTGTATATGTTTGCATGTACATCATTTCTCATAACCAATTGTTATACATTCAGGAATACAAAGCTTAATCCACTGTGATTATATACATTTAAAAACACTATCCATATATATTTTTGTGTGCATCACTTCTTGGGAACGATTGTGTACATGAAGGCGTATATAGTGAAATCATGGTGATTGTATATATTTGAAAGAATCATAAGTATATATATGCTTGTATTTCATTCCTATTAACCGATTGTGTACATGAAGGAGTATTAAACTGGAAACCACTGGGATTGTAGATACTTGAAAAAATTATAGGGATATATTAGCGTATATTTCATTTGTAGTCTCTATGTACTTGAAGCAGTATACTAAACTGAAACCAGTGTAATTGTATGTTGCAAAGAATTGCCAATGAAGTGAAACTGAATAAATATAATAAACATTTGAGGTGTTGCATGTGTAGTGTACGTATACGTGAACGTACATCTGGTGAAAAAGTTGTGTGGCAGAAGAAAACTTTGTTTTATTTGCCTATTAAATAAACGCAATATGCAAGGGCAGCAAGGCTTCATTTTCTGTAACGCGCATTATGCATATACTGTGAAGTATATATAGATCCAGCACAAGTTCATACACGATGGCACGCGTTAATATTTTTGCCCAGACGCAATGAATGGAGCTCGACAGGTGGCGCACCATTGATAATGAGGACCACTTTCTTCAAGTAGTGTTTAATCAGTGCATGCTGATATCTATTAGTGCAGTCTAAAAGAATACTGGCACCCCTGCCATGGGCACTCAACACCCTTGTGCACCCTTCTCGCACCCTCCTCAGAGGGTGCTAAAAAAGTGATGGACATCGAAGGCACCCTTCCTTAAGGGTGTTTTTTTAACACCCTACAGTTTTTTTACATGTACACCCTATTCTAAGGGTGCATGAAAAAGCACCCTTTTTAGAAGGTGCTGAATTAACACCCTTAGGGTGTCGTCCACGGGACAAGCTCATTTACACCCTTCTGGGTGTAAAAATTTTTACTGTGTATGTCCACGACAGACGCGAGTTAACTCAACGTCACCTGCCTAGGCCCAGTCGGGGACGGTCAAGTTAAACCTGACCACCCTCACGTGGGCCCTCTGGACGGTCAGAATTATTGAGGTGAGGTCCTGAGCCTTAGTCAGCTTGTTCAGGGCCTCTTGGTGGAAAAGGGACCGGCAAAGGCACAGCCTCGCAAGACATGCTCGAAGTCTGCATAACCACAACACACGTTGTTGGGTGTGGTTAAATAAATGGCTGTGTTCTTACATTTTCTGTCGGTTTTCATTGATATTAGGTATTTATCCCACAATATAGATAGTGAAGAGAGGAGGAAAAAAAAAAGGCCGCTCAATACGGCTTGAAGCATACCCCGTTAGGTCTTCATCCGAATGAAGGGATTTCTCGTTCAGACAGCAAGAAAAGAACCGCGAATAGTATTGGTAAAGCTGAAGAACAAATTGTTTGGGAGATAGTGATTTTGCTTCGCTACTATTGTTCCAGCGATGTATTGTTGCTGGCAGCTGAGTTGCCGAGGAAGCGTAATGCATGCTCTCCCGTATCCGTCAGATACTCAGCGGCTCGAGCACTTACCTCCTATCAAGTCAGTTTACATTGTCAATTGATATGTCATGAATGTAAAAAAAAAAACGCAATAATGAATATTTAGGCATAAATGCAGAAAGTAGTATCTCAGTGTATGCAGGGTGATTCAGCTGACTCTAGACACAGTTTAAAAATATTCTGACGAATTTATGACGTACAGCGCAAACAAATGCGTGTTGCTCACTAGTGCATAGAGGTATTCATACCGTCTTTTGTGTTCTTTTACATTGCTTAATTAGCAACATTAATCAACTAACTTGTAAAACACTGAAGCAGCGAGAAAGGTTCTAATGATAAAGTTCTCAATTGCTTTGCAAAACCTCCGACTGGACAGCTTTTAACATTTCATCTTTTTGTTTTTCTTCCCACAAATGCCCACGAACTACATAAATAAATAAATACATAAATAAATAACGAGACATACCTGCTTGTGCTTCGTATGGAAATCTATATGAATTTACTTGTCATTTCGGACTACGAAAGAGTGTTTGTCAATGATGCCTTTCGTGAAACTTACTGAAAAAGATATCAGGAGGAAATTAAGAGAGAGAGAGAGAGAGAAACGAGAAAAAAAAGGAAGGCAGGGAGGTTAAGCAGATGCTAGTATCCGGTATGCTACCCTACACTGGGGTTGGGGAATAGGGGGTTGAAAGAGAAAGCGAGAGTTAAAAAATAAATAAGAGAAAAACACCGACAAACACGCACACACAAAATCAGTCCACTCATAGGCGTTCCGGCAGGCCAGTAGTTCGTAAGAAGCCCAGTAGCGCTTGCACGGCTTTCTTCTGTGACGATGAGTCATGACGATGGCGAGGAGAAAATTAAAGTTGCTTTGCTACTACTGCTGGCAAATGTAGAACGGGCAAGTTTCAGAATTACGTGCATAAATTATGCTTTACTACAGGATGTTACGATAGCAAAAAGAAATGGGTTAAACATCGATTGAAACGCGCGAATGTCGCAAGGATGTGACAAAATATTGCGTAGTAATGCTTTCTTGGACGCTTGAGATCACCCGGAATTCGTTTGGAAGACAGGACAAAGTTTTTTTTTCAGCCTTAGCATGTTTATTGTGTTGCTGTGCTCAGCCGAAAGCAAATCGATAGGAGAATCAACACGTTCTGTGAAACATGGGTTTTGTACGGAAATAGGATCGTTAAAGTTTAAAGATGATTTTTGTAGTCACTTGTCAGCAGCTGCTCGTAAAACATTCCGTATCGGTGTGTACTGCTGCTAACTCTGGTAGCGTAAGAGCGAACGTAAACGAATGCGCGCTTTTGAATTTCGCTGTCGTCTGCTCGCGCGTGTCGTCTGCTGTCACGCGCGCGCGGTTCGAGAGTTTTATAGGTGCACTCTCGTTAGCAGAGAGTGGGGGCGCTGGCGAATTTTTTTTCAGACACCCCTCTTTGTTCGAGCGGAGGAAGGAGGGCGGTGGACGCGTCGGGAAAAAAAAATGGCTTTCGTCGAGCGACCGCGAGAAGAAATTTTCGTTTGCCACCACCGTCCCCGCGTCCGCCGCTAGTAACCCGCGAAAATGACACTGTGAACGGCGGCAGCTGCGAGCTGAGAACGACATGTGGTTATGCGAAGGTTGACGAAGGAGTGTGCACGTTCATCGGTGCTGCGGACTGGGCCGGCCTGAAGGTGAGCCAGCAACGCGGCCGCCATTTTAGTTGTTGTGACTGGAGAGGGCGAAAAGAAAGCGAGGGCTGGGCGTGAAAGAAGGGGGGCAGGGGAGAGAGTAAAGTGGTTCACTGCTCTCAGCGGCACTGCCGGCGAAGGTGGCGTTCGGTACTTTTTTTGGATGGCGTTTGTGGCGTTGCCGGTTGACGATGGTTGACGCTTATTGCGTCTTCGGCGTATGCCGGCTCTGTGGCGCGATGCGGCTTTCAATTCACAGCAACGTACCGACTTCGGTTGTCGTCGCGTGGGCATTTGGCGAGCCTGCGTTTTCTCCTGAAAAAAGCTTGTGCAGATGGCGGCGGTCGCGGCCGTTATGATCTCGCTACGGTGTGTCACATAACGCCACATGTGGATCTGCGCATTTTGTTAAAAGAAAAAGGAAAGCAGCTCCGTATTTTTGTTAAGAGCCGCAGTCACGCATTTGCTCGCCAATATCCGAACAACGAGAGTGTCAGATGGCAATTCTGTGGTGACTTCAGATGCTTTCACCATGCCCGAGTGCTCTGAATAAGTGTTTCCCTTTACTGGCGCCACGTCTCCGGCTGAATTTGCACACTTTCGCGGTTTCGTGGCGTATTCATGCTGATAGTGCGCCTATGGGCTACGCTGAAGCTCGCCCTTATGTTTTATCTGCAACAGTAGTAGACTTAAAATGAACGAGGTGTGTTGCATTATTAGCCGATTATTAAGCTTTCTCGTCTCTTGAAAAATACATGAAAACAGCAACTGTTTGCTGGGAAGCAACGAGTCTTCGAGTTCTGTGAAAGCATGTCGCTGAAAACGACATGAAAGCACGTCGGTGCTTGTATCTGGTTCATCACTGACTGAACAATTAATTCTGTTTGCTGTTAAAGTTCTATGGAGTGCCCTCGCTGCTGAGGAACGTGCGAATTAGAGCACATGCTTTGACGGTGCCCCTCGTTACGTGCGGATAAGGACCTCACAGAGCATAAACAGAGTTCGGCCCCCTAAGAGCTCGAATTATCATCAACTTTGGACTGTCCAGAGAGCCGGCGATGCGGCGGTTAGGTTAGGTCTAACTGTCCCCACGTGAGAGCGGTCCGGGGGTGGCACATCTCCAGATATTTCAATAAAGTTATTCGTACCGTACCTGCCACAACCGTGTAGTAGCGTCTGGTCCGCGATAACAAACCCAGAGGTGGGCACATCTTTGGCAACTGTCCGCGCAGTGTGGTGTGATGCCCGTTTATTCTAGCTCCCGTCCGGAATTGGAACTCTTCTTAATTCGAGCAGTCTTGTTGTCCTTTTCGAGTTTGAATTAACAAGTTTTTACTGTAATACATTATTTTACACCGACGACTTGGGAGGGCATAGGTGTTGCTAAGGGCACCCTGATGCGGACGTGGTATTGAGGTAAATTTTCCCTTGATAAATTATTCATATGTGTAGGTTGGGTTGGTGTCGAAAATTGTTACACTTTATATATATATATATATATATATATATATATATATATATATATATATATATATATATATATATATATATATATATATATATATATATATATATATATACACACACACACAGCGACAGAAACAGAACGACAGAAACTGATACGCAAGAAGCCAATCAATGAGCTAGCACTGAGAGGGAAAGTACAGGAATTCAGAGTCTCGCTTCAGAACAGGTACTCGGCTCTTATGAGGAAACCAACCTTAACATAGATACAATGAATGATAATCTGACGAGTATCATTACGGAGTGTGCAGTGGAAGTTGGAGGCAGGGTAGTTAGACAGGACACTGGCAAGCTTTCCCAGGAAACGAAGAATCTCATTAAGAAGCGTCAAATCATGAAAGTCTCAAGTACAACAGACAAAATAGAACTGGCAGAGCTTTCGAAGTTGATTAATAGGCGTAAGGTATCCGACGTAAGAAGGTATAACATGGAGAGAATTGAACACACTCTGAAAAACGGAGGAAGCGTCAAACAGTGAAGAGGAAACTTGGGATAGGCAAAAATCGGACGTATGCACTAAGGGACAAAGAAGGCAAAATAACTACCAATATGGATAGGATAGTTAAAATAGCGGAGGAGTTTTACAGAGATCTGTACAGTAGCTGGGACAACCACGACTTTAATACTATAAGAACTAGCAGTAACCCAGATGACACCCCACCAGTAATGATAGAAGAAGTCAGAAAAGCTTTGGAGAGCATGCAAAGAGGCAAAGCTGCTGGTGAGGATCAGGTAACATCAGATTTGCTAAAAGATGGAGGACAGATTGTGTTAGAAAAACTAGCCACCCTGTTTACGAGGTGTCTCCTGTTGGGAAGAGTACCAGAGTCTCGGAAGAACGCTAACATCATCTTAATACATAAGAAAGGAGATGACAAGGACTTGAAGAATTACAGGCCGATTAGCTTGCTCTCTGTAGTATACAAGCTATTTACAAAAGTAATTGCTAACAGAGTAAAGAAAACATTAGAATTCAATCAACCAAAGGAACAAGCAGGATTTCGAACAGGCTACTCAACAATCGACCACATTCATACTATCAATCAGGTAATAGAGAAATGCTCAGAATATAACCAATATATATATACATAGCCTTCATAGATTACGAGAAGGCGTTTGATTCAGTAGAAATATCAGCCGTCATGCAGACACTGCGGAATCAGGGCGTCGATGAAGTATATATAAACATTCTGGAAGAAATCTACAGGGGATCAACTGCTACCATAGTGCTTCATAAAGAAAGAAACAGAATACCAATCAAGAAGGGTGTAAGGCAGGGGGACACAAACTCCCCAATGCTATTTACCGCGTGCTTACAGGAGGTTTTCAGAAGCCTAGAATGGGAACAGTTAGGAATAAGAGTTAATGGACAGTATCTTAGTAACCTGCGCTTCGCCGATGACATTGCATTGCTGAGTAACTCAGGGGACGAATTGCAACTCATGATTACGGAGTTAGACAAGGAGAGCAGAAAGGTAGGTCTTAAAATTAATCTGCAGAAAACGAAAGTAATGTACAACAACCTCCGAAAATAGCAGCGCTTCGAGATAGGTAATAGTGCACTTGAAGTTGTAAAAGACTATGTCTACTTAGGGCAGGTAATAACCGCGGAGCCGAACCACGAGATTGAAGTAACTAGAAGAATAAGAATGGGGTGGAGCACATTTGGCAAGCACTCTCAAATTATGACAGGTAGATTGCCACTATCCCTTAAGAGGAAGGTATATAACAGCTGTATCTTGCCGGTACTTAGCTATGGAGCAGAAACCTGGAGACTTACAAAGAGGGTTCAGCTTAAATTGAGGACGACGCAGCGACCAATCGAAAGAAAAATGGTAGGTGTAACCTTAAGAGACAAGAAGAGAGCAGAGTGGATTAGGGAACAAACGGGGGTTAAGGATATCATAGCCGAAATCAAGAAGAAGAAATGGACATGGGCCGGGCATGTAGCACGTAGACAGGATAACCGCTGGTCGTTAAGGGTAACTAACTGGATTCCCAGAGAAGGAAAGCGGGTTAGGGGGAGACAGAAGGTTAGGTGAGCAGATGAGATTAAGAGGTTTGCGGGTATAAATTGGCAGCAGCAAGCACAGGACCGGGTTAACTGGCGGAACATATATATATATATATATATATATATATATATATATATATATATATATATATATATATATAAAGAAGCGTTCATGCAGCATGATACTGCGTTCCACGTTCTTCGTACGTTTCGCGCTTATGAAATCGTGTGTTAATTGTTGATTACTCCATCCTTTATACAATAGCAATATGAATAATTTCTGCCAAAACGAGGTACATGTTCATTTTTCAAATTCAAATACCACAATCATTTATCGACAGTTGAGATATGATCAGCAACTGCACTTTGACGTCTGTTTAATGAACGGCATTTATTATTTGTCTAGTTACTAGGCTGAATTCATCGACCGAGTTCCTTGTGATCCTTACAAGAAATCAAAGATGTTCTGCGACAGCAGCGAATATTTCATTAGAATTGGACAGCTGCTTTAGTTGAATCTGCGATTGGTGGCTTGGTTCCTCGGCAAACTGGTGCAACCGACTCTGGGGGATGCAGTGGTCAATACAATTTAAAACGAGTTGAGCAAGATGTAACTTGTTAATAAAAGAAAAAAAAAGATTAGGTGTTAAAGGATGGTTGTCTTTAGTTAGCAATTGTCTAACAGTTAAAAAAACACAATAGTGACCTAGCCCTATATATATGATGTTAACTGGGTCATGCACAGCACACCACTCAGGCTGGACTGATGAAGTGGATCTTGACTATGGCCGAAATGAACTTTATCAAAAGTTCTAGAGAAACAAAATTTAGTACCTGAATTTGTGTGTGTGTGTGTGTGTGTGTGTGTGTGTGTGCGCTTTTGGTCAATGAACATGGTTATTCTGTATTTAGAGAGTCCATTTTTTAAAATTTTGTTTGTATAGCTAAAGATGTTATATCCGGTTAAGGGAGAGATGGCGATCTCGATTAGAACACCCTGCCTTGCTCTGTTTCGTGGCTAAACGGGATGGTGAAAGTGGCATTCAGTAATACTGAATGCTTAATTCAACAGCTAGAAAGGACCATAATGTTTTGGGTCTCATTATACAAAATTATGAGGTATATGATTGCAACTTTTTTATTGATGGTATTTTAAGCAGCAATAGCCCTTCGCAACGCAAAAATTCAAGATGATTCATTTCACTATTTCTCGGTTCCAGCGAAAATCGGTCTGTAGTGCTCGACATTTCAGTTCTGTAAGTGCGTATTCTATGTACTGTCGTAGTGAAATAACTAGAACAGTGGTCTGTGATATATTTCGCAGTGACGGTCGCAAAGTGACTTGTAAAAGTAGAACTTGTTTATGATAATGTACAACTCACAGCGCAGTGATACACTGTAATGGTACATTCTACTGCTCTATAATAGACCGACCAGCTGACGAAGAACTTTGTGGAATTTGCCT